TATCGTAAGGTAGATAGACAACCAGAAAGCCGCAAGGTTGGGTTAGAAGAAGAACGTAAACATCTACCTAACCAACTAACCACTACTTATCTGTTAGATATTGTTGTTTTTCGCCCCAATCGATGGCCGCCGTCTTGACCGTTGCATGCGCAGGCGCAGGCCACGGTGGTCTGCTGGTCGTTAAGGTGTATTTTGTGGTCTGAGATGGCATTGGCTTTAAACTGGAAACGATGAAAGTAACGTTTTTTTCTGGAAAAAGGGAAATTGCTTGTGGGTAGGCTAGGTGGATGTTTGGGCGATTTCAGAGGAGAACTATTTATTTCGATGTCAATGGGCCTCCTTGATCGGTCGTGAAGTCGCAAGCCCGAACATTAGTGGTTTCCGCGGGTCAAATTTTTCTAACACCTCCATCTTCCCTTGGCCGCCTGTGGTTGCTTTAGTCGAGGTTGACACACCTACAGTGAGTAAGAAGGTTAAGCAAAATTTTTTCACTCGCTTTCGACTAAGAAAGATTGCATAAACGGGTGGGGGAAGGGATTATAATGCCGCTATCATCGCCCGAAATGATAACATAATATTTCAGATAAGCCTGGATGTCGGCTTTTAAAGGCACTTCTTTGAAATAGGTTTGAATTGATAAGGGCGTGGAGAATCAGTGGAAAAAAATGCATAGTCATGCGGTTGAAAAAACATATATTAAGAAACCAGCCTCCTAGTTTAGGCTTCAAGGTCGTTAGCCCTACACCCCCCCTACATAGTAGTTCTTTCTGATTGTAAACGCATTTTTTGGTGATCGGACGATTCTGGTCAGGAGCATGCACTGATGGTGTGCGGGTGTAAGGGTTGATCACTCGGTCATTGTTTATCAATGTAGTGCAGCCGTTACTGCCCGTTTTCGGTTCTTACCGTTCGTACTGCTACCACCGGTCATGGCGTTTCACAGTATTGTCGGGGGAGAGCATGCCCGCATCCGAAACCTCTGCCCGTTTGGGTCATTCTGGCCGTGTCAGCCTGTCGATTAAATATTCTACTGCCCCAGAAGGTTGTTGTGAGTTGCGTTCATTTCGGGTAGATTTTATATTCAGTTGACCCAATTGTGAAAATTGTTATTCTGTTAGAATCTAGATGATTGATTGCTGTTCCGTAATGGTGGATTCCATACGAGTGGTAAGTTAAGCGGGTGAAATCGATTCAAGTGGGATTAAATTCACGGCTCACGTGAGCCACATAGCCCAGTGGTAAGGCCTTGGCTGCGCAAAAACCTTCCCTGCTGTGTGGGTTCGACTCCCACAGAGGCCACGAATTTTGCACCATTGGATCAATCGAATTAAGCAAATCTACCAAACCCCCTGACAGATTTTTATATGAAGAATAAGTGAGATGATTAAGAAAGAAGGCTCCTCGGGAAATGGAATTTTACTCTTGAATTTTCGAGCTGGTGACACTAGATCTTCGTCAGAAGGAATGAAACGGAATGAAAGTTATATGTCTACTAGGTTTTTTTTATTTGGCGAGGCTTGTATGATTCATGACTCAAGGGCGATGATTGACAACTCTCTCAATTCCTCGTAGTTTTCAGTCGCGCCTTTTTACACTGCTACAATTCGTTTTGTGGTGTTAAACCTTCCACTGCATAGAAGTTGTAACCTTGAATTACAAGAATTGACGTGTCTTCTACACTAGGCTTTTTTTATCCTCACCATCGCTCAGTTCCTGGCTGTGAGCTAGTTAAGCAATTAAAATGCAATACCATATAAATGTGAACAAATAGAAACGTTTCCAAAACAGCATCAACTCAACCATTCCGAGAATTAACTCCACGTTCGAAAAAGGAGTTGATAGTAAACTCCCATTTCTGGATGTTTTCATACAGCAGAAGATTGACGGAACACTGCTCAAATCCATTTATTGCGAGTAAACGTATTCAAAAGTAATTACAGTGGAACCTCGGTTAACGAGCCCGTCTTACGAAATTTAGCAAATCAGACTGCATCAGTTCACGGACCGGCTGCAGGAGACGGAGGACCCTCGCCCTGAGAGCAAGACTTAACGGCGGACGCAGACACAGACACTTGCACTGACAACTTGTTAACTGAGTGGAAGCTGGTCTAGCGAAACTAATGTTCTGCTAGTACTTCGCTTGTTACCTGAAATGCTCCTAGATAGGGCTGTTCGTCACCCGAGGCTCAACTAAGTACCTTCAAAGATCTATCCAAGTTTGATTAAATTCACGGCGCAGGGTGAGTCTCGTAGCTCAATGGTAGGGCGTTGGCTGCGCAAAAGCTTTTCCTGCTGTGTGGGTTCGACTCCCGCCGAGGCCGCGAATTTTCCACAATTTGGTCAACTAAATTAAGCGAATCTGCCAACCCCCCCTGACACCTATAATTGTCGATTGCTGACGCTCTGGGGTCCGTTTCTTTACTATCCTTTTAATCCGTGCATGCTCTTTAGTGAATGAAACTGCCACGGAACAGCAAGAAACTGTCGCGGAC